AAAAAAAAAACCACTTCAACCGTAAAGTACCTCCAGATAAGCAGACCAAGTATCCTTATCTTCTGGAGTTTTACCGCCAAAGGCTATCGGTGTTGGTTGTGTTAGATTGATAGCCAACCTACAAGCATGAAAATTAAAATTCAAAAATGAGTGAAGGGATATTTTAAGTAGAAAGAAATCAGAAACGCAATAAAGACATTGGAAAAAAAACTTTAGCTCTAAGCTCACACATTTCAAACACGGACAGAGAGAAGAAGTTGTGATTTTCATTATCTGTATTGTTCAAACGCTTTTTAAATTCATCGTTCAGGTGACTCACCTCAAAGCAATGTCAAACAAATTTTCCGCAGTTGAGCTGGCTTTCATTAAAGGAACAAGATCATTTTGTAATATATTGTGCTTCCCATATAAACGTCTTGCAAAAGCGACAGAATTATCGTAGCGCAAAAAACGTATCAAGTCGCGAATACTCTCTAAAAAATGAAAAACAAGTTCAAAAATTTTATCCAAATATATTTTTAACGTTATTATTAAGAGAAATGATCACTGCTACCAAATAAGAGTATTCACAAATATAAGGGCATACAGCAGCGCGTATTAAGCTACCATATTTGTAAGGTAGCAATAAATAGAAAAAATTTGCAAATTCTAAAAACAGCAATTGAAAAACTGTATAATCAGTAGAAACTTAACCAAAGCAGTCAGGTTCTGGATAGTACACTCCATCATCCAAACATCCAAGCGCGCTTATGGTTGACTGTATGACTGCTTCCATAGTGTTACAAACACCAGCTTCAAATATGTAAAAACTGGGATAACCGATTACAATTCTGCAAATAAACGGTCAAACTACAGGGAGAAACCCTAGCATTTCCATTTCTAAATACTAACTCCAAATTCAAGCTAGAAGTTCATCGTGCAGAATACACTGACAAATCACCTTAACTCAATGAATGGCTTGAAAAAATTGTTCAATATACAAAAGCTAAGCTCGTTTTAAGAAAGTCAAGCTACAATATTCCGACTCACCACGCAAACCCCTAGCAGCCCTAGTCCTTCCCTTCCGACCTATTTATTCAAGCCGGATGGAACCACTTCCAGAAATCCGCTTGTAGTAATAGAAGCATTCAAGGCATCTGCCCGATAGAAGTTGAACTTCAAAATGATAAATTTCGCGCCTTGACATTTTCGTTTTAGGACTTGCTGTTTGAAAAAATTCTGCCTCGATAAACTGACGACAGCAATTCTGTTATCTCGAACAAAATCTGCAAATATCAAATCTAATGCAGTGTGGATCATCTGTTTATGATATAAAAGTTAAAATATTTCAGTTCATTTGAGACAAAAATGGACGTTGGGATAAAGTTTGACATTAGCAAAAAAAATTTTTTGACTCTTTATTTGTCATTCATTTAGTTGTCATCCAAAAGTTACTGAAATAAACGTTCGACTCTTAAACCACAGCTTTCTACAAGCTCTCAGCAGATTTAGATACCTCTAGTTTGGTAAAATATAAGAAACAGAAAAAGTTAATTTATTCGACATGAACGATTTCATGGTTGTGTGCCATTGATAGTTATGTACAGTAAAGCTTTTTTCTTTAGTAAAGGCTAAAACGTTAAAAAAGTTTTGACTTTAGCATTTCCCATTTCCTTCCTTACCATCTTAAACGTTTAGTATGGTGAACACCCACTCGCTCCTCGTTTTGTTAACCATTCACTAGTACTGCTTAATGATAGATAACAAGCATGCCTGTAGAGTGTTTGTCCATAATGGGCGACAGTTGTCGTCTGACTCCGCTATTCGGCGATGTTGTCCCGTTATTGCAAAATGCGACGTCGCAGCCGACAGAAACAATGGACGGCCGAAGAGACGACAAAGAAGAAAAGCAAGTTGTCGAGTTGTCATAAGGGCGGAGTTGGTGGAACAAGAAATTTGTCTCGTCGTCTGTTGTCTCCGTGATGGCCGACTGTATTTTCGGCACACGACAGCTCAGTGTTGGAACAGCGACGACGCAATTTTGTTGCGTTGTCCTTTGTCATAATCCGCTGTCAGGGTTGCTTCTTATAGCTTTTTCATCTGTATTTTCTTCATTATTTTTATGCTATGAGTGTAATTTTTTAGTATTCATCCTTTTAAAATTCCTTGGTATTCAATGTTTCGCTATGTTATCATGTTTTTAAAATTATTCTTCAGTAGCTTTCTCGCGGTTTTAAATTCTAATTCCTTTTGTGCTTATTCATTGTTGGCTCATTTTTCTTCCATTTTTTTCTTCCTAGGCAGTAAAGGTAATCTTTGGTGTTCACCTTCTGAGTTCTGACGTGTGAAGTGTCAATGACGATCTGCTGAAGTCTTATTTAGTGGGTGATTTGTTGCTGTGTTCCTTATTGTTGGTTTGTGCACAGTAGTTGTCCACACTGGAAGAACCTTCATCGTCAGCTGTCGTCATCTTCATATGTATACTGTAGTGCTGCTGAAGTTTTTTTCATTCATGTGCAAGTTTTTTGGACTTTATTGCCACTTCCGTTGTTTCTTTGAATTTTCCGATTTATTTTTTTTGTTAATTTCATTCTTCTGATTTGCGCACGCTATACATATGCTTGAGGTAAGGTCGCTCACTTCATATTGTTGACTTCATCAGACTTCATCAGCCCAGGTGAAATCACTGTTAATCAGATGAAGCATCTCGGGCATAGTATGAGAATATACTTCGCTATTTGACAGTTGGGACCGAAGAGATTTATAAATGGATGAAAATCAGCAAACATTTTTAAAAGCATCAAGCAGTCATTAAAAATTGCATGACGTTCGTTGGAGCAAGAATTTGTAAACGAGAGGGAACCTACAGCCGCAACGCTTGGGAGTAGGCGGACCGATGACTGTATCGCACTGAAAGTGGTGGCATAAATTCTGACAGAAGTACGAGACAGTTTGCCCACAAATTTTATGCAACGGATTGTGCTGTTTGCGAACCCATCGAAACTTATTTTATGAGAAATAAATAAAAAACATGCATTTTTGGGTGATTGGTGGTTTTTATTTCATCTTTTTATCTTCAATGTGGATGTGAAATCTAACGTTGGCTTAAAAGTAGTTATGTATTCTCTATAGACGTTACTGCTTGTCTGGGTAGGCATATTTACATCGCGGCAGAAATATTATGTAGTTTGCTTTGGGTTTTCTATGTAAATTAGCACCGGGAAGTTTTCTGTCGAAATGTAAGCTAGGGTCAAGCCGTCGTAGTTTAGGAAGCAAGAGTTCAAGAATGCTGAGCTGATCACAGTTGACTGTAATTATTGATCAAGTACTTTGTTCAAAAGCCTATGAAACTTTGCAGCTTTAGATTTGTCCTCCACAAGAAGTCAGGAATATAATGCAGTAATGCTTTATTAACTATTTGGGTTTATACTTTATAATTATACTACTTGAACTTCACTACCTACGTTATTAGCGATAGGTTCTGAACCATCGTGTTTAAATGAATGCCTTTCCGACTGAGCGCTTATCATTTCGTCGCAGAGCCGAAAATTATCATATGCACAGAGCAGGTGAGCAGAGTCACAAACTGTTTCCCTGCAGGTGGCTTTTAGACCGTTAAATTTTTCTAAATATTGTTGTTATAAAGTGAGATTTACTTTTTGAAGATAAAAAAGTTCAGAAATTAAGTTTAGAAGGACTTCTGAAATCAAAAAGTTTTCTTTCATTTTTTTTCTGGTGCTTCACGCAAAAATTAGTATTTTCCAGAGCTTATTTTAATATTTATTCGATATTATACTACTGGTTTTTCTTGTGAAAATCTCTATAAGTACAAGTAGTCAGATTTGTCAGCGATCTGTTGAAAGCCGTATTTTTTGAATGATTTAAAGTAGTGAAAGGAGCTGGTAAGCTGAACGTTGTAACTTATCAGTGTTATCTTAGAGGAAAGCGCTTACTGTGCATATCTTAATGTGGAATGGAAAAGAAATCAAAGGTTAATTTTGATCGCTGTTTCCTTATTGAATATCGTTTATTGTTTTCCAGCTATCTCTCTCGGAAATTTCTTATAGGGAAGATGGTTCCTACAGAAGTTTTCGAAACCATTTCTAGCTAGATTTTCTAAGGAGCAGACAGTGGTATTATTTGCATCTCGAAACCGAATCAGGTAAAATTTATTTATTCCACTTAGACTTATCGAGAAAATGCGTAGTGGAAGTCGTTCCGAGGCTCACCCACTGTTATTGGTAACCGATTTCAGGTGACTAAGTGATTGGGATTTTTGTAGAAGCCTTGCATTTCTATACGTGAGTATTTAAAATTCAGTTAAGGACACCAAAATTTTTAATTAAGGGTTTAGTTCCCACTCAGCAGTGGCGTGTTAATATAGAAGTTTGTTAATTCTGTAAAAATTGCTGCACTTATTTGACTTATGGCTTTCAACAGCGATGGCATTATAGATTTGGTTGATGTCGAAAGTATTTGGAGCATAGGCAATGGATAACCTCGTATTAGTTAGCCAATAAACAGTACAATTTTTTCATGAAGTAAGGAAAAGTTTATGAGTAAGTATACTGCAGGTCAACCAGGAATTCGAAGACTGTTGCCATTAATTTTGAATAAGCTTTGCTGTGTTAGTATTCTTGTAGCTGTTTTTTGGGTAAATAGCGATTTTATTTGAAAGGTAAAGAAGCTGCTCCAGTTAGCGGACCTTAAAGAGAAGAGAAAAACCGCTTAGTTGGAACCTAAACCAGAAAAGTCTGGTGAATTCTTCATTTTCGATTTACGGGGACTGGTATACTTACTATTACTTAAAATGTGCTTTTAAATCGACAGTAATCTATGGGTATATTGCTTCACACTTGAAGGCAGTAAATTAATCACCCGAATGCGACTAACATGAGGGTATTTTAATTGTAACGTCGCACTGCGCAAAATAATCGTAAATTCTCGAACATTCGAAGCAGAGGGTTCATTTTTTTTTCAATATTAGTTTGCTGTTGTTTTCTTTCTTCCTTTTTTTTTTTCTTTGATAGACATCTTGTAAACTGTTTAGACGTCTTTAATTAAATTTTTAGAGGTAAGATTTTTTTCATGGAGTAATCTGTTTCAGTTTTTCAAGACTGGAAACGATTTATCGTCATTCTTTCAAAGTTTAATTGCTTTGTTGCATTAAAATTTTTAATTGTTGAAGGTTTCAGTTGAGGCAATGAAGTTAATTCTTATATGGGTCATGATGTCTTGAATTTTGACATTAGGTGTTCGCAATTTTAGATCTGTGTTGTACTCGCTATTAGTTTGAAGGACTAAGTTTTACTTTTGTTGGTAAATTTTTTGGTGTCTTGCATAAAGGAGAGATCTGTTTACTGTCCCAAAAGCAACTGGTGCCCACTACTTAGCATATTTTAGCCAGATCTTACTGAGCATTGAGTTACTGTCATTTTCTCTCTTTTCCTGTCGATATAAAAGCTTTCTGGATTCTTGACTTACTTTTTGCTGTAATGGTTATTGTTGGATATGCTTTTGTGGTTTTTTCTATCATTTCGATGTTAATAAACGGACTGTAGGCTTGGCTTATTATTTTTTTGCCTGCCGGTGGTTCTTGACTTTGCGTGTAGAAAATCATTCGTGATACGAAACAGGAAACCGAGTTTTATTTAAATAAATAAAGTTTTTTATCGGAGAAGGCTGCTGTTTATGATTGTCAAAAGTTGTTGTTATTAAGCCTAACCAACGATTTAATTCAGTGGTGGCGTCAGCGACGGCGAAAGCGATGACGCGGTGGTTAGATAATAATATGTATATAATAGTTTTAGTGATGTCATTGCTTTTGATGCGGAGAGCATTAGTCATTTTGTTTTGAGTGGGTGGCAGTGTTTGGAGGGCGGGTACGCAGTGCTGCATTTGAGCCTGCCTGTTTGAAAGCATTAGAACAAAACTGAAAAATCATGAGTAATTGATGTTTTTATACGTTTAAATTCTATTTTGCGGTTCTTTTGTGGTATTTATCAGACAGTTGTTGTTCCATTTATATTTTTATATAATCTTTTTAAATTTTGCTTTTTCGCGGTGTAAAACAGTCCTGAAATGTTTTTTGTAATTGTCTCTACCTCCGTTATCTTATCGAAAACGGCACTGTTATAACCATTTTTTAATTGCACTAAAAATTTCTTTTTACAGTGGATAGGCCGTATTTGTAAATGGCAGTGGATGAGTGTAAATCGGAGTCGTCGAGAAAATTGTAGGTTTTGATTAAATACTTTCTTAAAAGTTCTGTCAAAGTTGTATTTTAGCGGACCTAATAATTACATAATTTCTTGGCATGTTATAAATTGGTTTTACTTTTTGATATTTTCGGTCACATTTGACTGTACTTCTAGACTTCGAGATGATGTTGATGCTTGTCTTCTTGAATCTGTGAAAAGTTACCCAGTGATTTATGATATCAGTGATGCAAACTATAAAAACAATTTTCGGAAAAGTCAGGCATGGTTACAGGTTGTAGAGGATATGAAGAAGAAGGGTTGTGAGTGTTCAGGTATCTTCTATTTTACTGGACAAATCCTTGTCAGGGATTTCATTGAAGGCGCTAGTAGCTATTGACTCAGATTAGCGAGCACCATAATAAAAAAACCTGTCTGAGGCAGTTTTTTGTGTTTAAGGTCTACCGAAAATGGTTAGCTATCACTTGATGATTTTTCATCCTCATCCAAATTACTGATTTTTCAGGATTATTGTTGTCTTTTTAATGATGTTGTTTAGAAACATTCTGCCGGAAACGCTATTGGACTCTTAAAAAACGTTTTCGAGTGAAGAAAGAAGCTCAAGAGCTTCCCGTAGAACCGACCATTGATAGGGATAATTGTTTCTCCATGTACCCTAAGATGGATTACCTTCATTCTGTAATGGAGGACGGAAATTGGTTTGTTTTTGTTTTTTTTTTTTATTGAAACTGTACAAGCGAAGGATTCTTACTGTTTATCGCATGATAAAGGAGGACTTAAGTTTTTTTACTTTACTTTATGTATAGCAATCCTTCAACCCTTATTGCTCTGGAAGAAAGTGATTGTGGGATTCAGCGTGATAAGGACATATCAGCAAAGGAACTGTCGGTACTTACAAATCCGAGTCAGCAGTTCAACACCACAATGGCACCCCCAAGAAGTAAGTCTCATTTTGGTCTAACGATGACAGGTTTTCTCATTATTTTGAAGGAATAAT